TATTTTCTTTCTTTAGTATTTTTTATTTATGCATTTCATGTGGTTGATAGGTTTTTATTGTCGGAATATACTTTTATGATTTTTAATGTCCAAACCGACTAACCCAACCCGGTCAAAATTGGGTTGGAACACATAAATGGGTTGGGTAAAAATCGACCCAACCCAACCCACACCCACCCCTAGTTTTGAGGATTATATTAAAGAGAGGATAGAACAAAGGGGGCAAGTAAATAGATTGTCTTTGATAAAATTTCAATCGATAAGTTTTATAATCTTTAGGATACGGATGGAGATAATTATTTTAAACTTCGTGAAGAGGGCATTGAACCCATATAAATACTTAGATTTTTGGCCGAACCCGAAACTACTTAGAAACGGTCGGAGATTGGTGTGATCAATTTTGCTACTTCGGGTACGATTATGGTGTATAAGGCTTGACAACACTTCATATCTGCCAAACTCCTATCGAACAATAATCTGGGTGAAAAGACCAAGGAGCGTGCGATACTAAATTATGCTATACAGTGTCGCTTGATGATTGATGTTGGTAAAGTTATTCACAATAGTATCATGTATACGCTCAAGAGGTCTACCCCTGGCAGTCTAGGGTATCCAGCCTTAATTTATGACTTATGTCAAAAATGGGGTATTGTGACGCATCCATCGAAAGATGTGGTGCATCCCAAACCACCCATTACCCAGAGTAGAACATGAAAGTTCTTGAGAAACAATGATCCACTAGTGCACCACCCATGTGGCAGAAGATCCGCTATCCCGATCACGTCGACCTCCCCCAGTCAGTGACCTTAACGCTGACCTCGCTGTTCAACTTCAAGTGATACAATTGCAAATGAATCAAATGCAAAATGTTATGTGTGAACAATTCTACTATCAGAATGAATTCAACACAGTATAGGCTTCTATATACTCAGATAGGACATTCTCTCAATCGTCATTACTCTCCGATCACACAACCATCCTAGTACCGAATGCTAGGGATCTAAGCCCCATTTATTGTAGCCGTAAAAAAATAAATAGAAAAAGGCATAGCACTTGTTAAGTATATGCCTCACACCTACACCTTTTTACTAGAATCAGTAAGTCTGTTGGGGTATCTTGAAACTTGTACCCTTTGGTATTTAAAAATCAGAGAGTTACTTGTTAAAAACTCGTTACGAGGGTCAAGAAGAGAAGAAAAAGCTAGTTGATCTTGAACTGAAAAAAAATCAAAATTAGCAAAATTATGCAATTGTGCAAGTAAGATCGAATTTTGGGGGCTTAGATAACTAATATGTTTGAATTGCTTAGTATGAGCTTGAAAGTTGAAACACTCAAAGTTTAGGAGAATCATCATGTAGATAGATTGTGACACTTTCGATTAGACTCAACCAAATTTGAGTGGTAAAAGAAAGTAGTGAATTGAAAATTATTAAGCTTAAAATGCCTCTTGGGAAGAGAATAAAAGAAGATAAATTTGGAGGTGTATGAACCCAAGAGTCAAGAAATGAGATATTTGACTATTGAAGGGTTGAAAATTAAATCAGTTTGTGAATGTACAACGTTACGCTTAATTTTTCACACACACCCGGTTTGCATTGGATAAGTAAAAGTTTGGCTTTTGAATTATGATTTTGAAGTATTTCATAAGTTGATATAATGTTTTCAATCCCGAGCCAAAAAAAAAGTTATCTGACTAAATTTGATTTTATGTGAGCCGATATGCTTAATTTTGTTTGTGTGTTTCCTTTAATTCTTTTTGTCTTTGTGTTTGCTCGAGAACTAGCAAACTATTAAGATTTGGGGTGTTTGATGAGTGTGTTTCACTCATTCTTTTAATGTCATTTAAACTTTAAGAATTAATTGATGTTTTAGAGTTTTAGAACATTTTGATGTGTGCATTCATGTTATAGGTTAGGTAACATAGAAACAAATGCAAGTTTTGGAGCATTCAAGAGAACCAAAGAGATCAAGGAAAAAATAAGGCTCAGAAGTATGCTAAAACTGCAGAGAAAGAGGCTAAGATGAAGGAAAACGGAGTGGATTCAACAAAGGAGATAGCGCCTAGGCACCACTTAAAGCCATCAAAGCAGATTTCAATACGATTTGGGTTTGATATAATCGATACTTGAACCTATGTTTTGATTTTAAATAGTAATTTCATTGAGAATTTTAATTACGTTTATTTGTGTTATTTGAATTTAATGCTTTCAATTAACTAGCTAATGATTGAATGAGTTGATTGTTTAAGTTTCGACACTCGAGAGAGAGAATATTAGATTGATCATAGGATAACACAATTTAGGTTTTATAGGTTTTAAGAGAAAGATAAACCATTTGAAGCGATTCCACATAAGAACCATAGAACTTGATAATTCCTAAACTTCTAATTCGAAACGAAGACATTGGAATTGAATTATAGGAATAGAGTTAAATTATGGTTCTTGCTTATAAACACGAAAAAATTAATTAGAGAAAACTATATAATTGATAAACGTAGTCGATAGTTAGATGAAATAATAACCCCGTTCTTTCTTCTATTGATTAATTCTTCTAAATTGCATAAAATCTTTGGGTTCGTCACAATATTTACATTATAATTAGACAAAACATTGATGATACAATTTAGATCATGTAGATAAAATAATTATAGTACTTATTATAAAATTGATATTCAACACATGTGGGTTCAACATCCTAATTTCACAGTTATGTTACAAAACTTGGCAATCGTACTCTTACAATTTAATTGTGGTATAGTAAATGCGTAACAAGGACTGTATATCAAAAAACACCTTCTAAAACACTCCATTTATCCAAAAGAGAAATCCCCAAACATACCCAAAACCTATCTTTCTATCATTCCGACATAAAAACTTCATGCTAGCAATAAAAAACAATTTCTGTTTTTTTATGCGAACGATGATATGTATTATCCCTTGGAAGCTTTCAATATTTGTCTCAAAAATTATGCGCCAAAATGAATATTTTCTTGGAAGATTTTTAAGGGGGTGTACTCAATATGAACTTTTAAATACTTTTTAAGAATTTGAAAGTTTAGAAATATTTAATATAGACTTTTTGAAATTTTTAATAAGTGCTAGTATATACAATGAAAACTTTTGTATACTTTTAGCCCTTATCTGGTCCCAATTATCTTAAAACTCATTTTTTCTTAAACTCATTTTCAACACATATTCCCACACTAAAA